CTTGCCTATATAGAGGTGTGTTGGAGCGAAGAAGATATAATATAAATTTTCTGATGGGTTGGCTTAACATTAGTTTAGTTACAGAGACGCTTTGTTGATTTGTTTATTGTGGTTTGTTAGGTTTGTTAGTTACTTGATTGAGATATATGGCATATTCAGGCATGCATGCAGTCATTATGTTTACATCTTTGTTCTGTTCATCGTGTGTAATTGGCATATATCTGCGGAGTCACTTAAAAATTGTCTAAATTTTGCAAGTAGTAAGAGTTTAAAGAATACATTTGTATCTATTTAGTTTAAAGTTTCCAGAATGACATTGGGAAAAAAACTCTTTTAAGTTGGTTATTTATTTGAGTTGCATAAATGACATCTTCAAGCATGCATTACCATAATTTTATTTCTAACGAAGAATCATAACTTTTAAAACTAATAGATTTCAGTTATTTTTTTGGGGACTTTTTACAGTGTAGTTTACAGTTATTTAGACACAACCGACTGTGTTATATATAGATTTCCTAGAAAAAAAAAGTTTGATACTATAGGCAGAAGATACAAATATGCTTCATGAAAACATTAACACATAAAAATAAGCAAAACATTAATCAATTTACCACTCTAATCAAGATGTGTGATTTCAAACCAAATGAATAACAATTAAAATGTTTAACTATAGCAATAAACTATTTTTAACAATGCCAGTTACCACCACCCAAAGTTGATTACATAACTAAACATTTATAATTTTTACTAAAATTTAAAAATTCAAAGTAAAATCATAAAAATATATCTATTTATTTACTAAACAATATCTATCACTAACCATCCCGTTTTACATTCAAACTCATATACATTACAATTAAAACAAAATATATACACAAAAAATAAAACACGCATCTGATTTTTCCGGTTGAATTTTCCGATTGTTGTTACATCAAACTAATCATACCGTGTGATTTCATTTTGTTTCATAATCTCAAACACAAGACTATGTAACGATTCGTCAATGTGCCCAGCCCCGCGCTTGCGCGGAGGCTATGAAACTAGTAACAATAATGCGACGGCTGAAAGTGTCATAGAGTAACGTGGGTTTGAAATACACCAAGAAATTCCATTTGGGCCAACCCAATAACCTTGTCCTCATCTTCTATTCATCAAACAACAACTTTTTTTTCTCTTTCGATCATACATCCAACATTTAGAACAATTATTAACTGAATAATAGTAAAATACCAATACCATTTACCTTCTTCTTATTTTTTCAAGAATAAAAGGTTTATTCATTGTTGACAAGGAAACAAGATAAAGAAGTTTCTCTTGCTTCTCGGTTCTTTTTAAGTTTGTTTCTATCTCTTTTCTTTTAAGTTTGTTTCTGTCTATTCACTTACACCTCTCTTTTTCTCCTCTAAAAGTGTTTTGGAGGCCATAAGAAAATGTTTAAAGAACCCAACTTTTTCGTATGGAACCCTATTTAGTGGGCCTGGTCAAATACTTCCTTGAAACATACTTTTACACCTCTTAATACTTCCTCGTAACCTCTCTTGAAAACATACTTTTAGATCTTAACTGGTTACAACGCAGCAATTGCGGTTGCGGTTGCATGCGTTTACGGATGTGGGAGATTGTGGTTTTAATAGTAAGAAATTTATACGACTGATTCAATAGTTAAAAATTGTTGCGTTTGCGGGATACTTATGATTGGTTTATCATGAAATACAACAACAATTAAATAATAAATTAACAATGTTTATATTTTATATAATTATCAAAATATTAAAATCATATTTTTCATGATAAATATAAAATTTTATTGAAAATACATTATTAAATTTTTTAAAAATTAAAGAAAATATTTTTTTGCAAATTTATAATATAAATATTCAGTATTTTAATTATTTTAATTGAATATTTTATTTTATATTTATATAGTTTTTGGAAAAAAATATTTTTTATCCTCCCACAATCGCCGCAACCGCAAACGCTAACTGGAACCAGCTTTTGAATTTTAGAGATTCAGAGCGATTTGAAGCGGTTTATGCGTTTTCTGTGATTGTTGCAAAACGCCAATAACCGCTATTAACCGCAAAAGCTGCGTTTGCAAGTGATGGCGGGAGAACCAGTCAGGCCCTTAATTTGAATACATTATTACCATCAAAAATTATTATTCAAAATACTTAAATGTATTTTTCCTAATATTTTTACTATATTTTTATAGAACAATTGTAAAGACATATTTTCAACAAGAAATTTTACCTTCTACACAAAAATCATAATTACTACAAAAATTGAAATTTTGACATGTATTAAATTACGAATTCACTTCTATTAATTTTTATAAATGACACCACTAAGATTCAAACCCCAAATTTTGTAGTGTGAACACTAGTTAACACGTTGGGCGGTGAACCATTAGAGAGGTTTCCGACTGTTAGTTTTATGAATAAATCTGCCGCAATTTGTCAAATATTCTCCTTTGGTCTAGTGTTAGAGTATCATTAGCTGCAACTGACTGGTAGTAACATGGATTTCAGTATGCTGTAAAACGTTTCATTTTTATATATTTTACTGTGTTTTCTTTAAAGATGGTCATTTTTTAAAAAAAAATAGCTTCTAGCTAGTCTTAAAATTTGTAGGACCGGTTATGTAAATATATAATCTCTTATATATTAAAATATAAACATTACAACATTCTAGATATTACATGTGTCATCACTAGAATGTTTTGCAAAGTTTCTAGAGAAAAATATTGATCTATAAACTATTATTAATGTTCCTTAAATAAAAATTATGGAATTATTTAATATGATTTATATATATATATATGTAATGATTTGAATGAAAAGATTTGATAGATATTTATGTACCATCTATTCTTTTTGTTAAATTATATTATAAAAATAAATTAAACAATCACAATAACTATATTATACAATAATTTAGATATTTTCGTATATGTTATATTTTGATTTTTTTTTAAATGACTATAAATTATTATAAGCTTTAAATTTCAACATAGATTTTATTAACGATTTTTTTTAATAACAAGATACAAACGATTATAGAATCAATGAGTACAAAATATCATTTAATACATATTCAGAATATATATAATTTCTAATAACGTTTATATTAAACTATATACCATCTAAAATATATAAAAATTTAATTAAAATTTTCATTGAACAAGTATTGAGAACTTAATACTTTAATTTCAAACTTTGAATTGAATTTCCTAAAAATGATTATGAATTACTATAAATACTAAATTTCTCATATAAAGATTATGTTGTCAATGATTTAAAAAAAAAATTGCTATCAATGTTTTAAAAATTTTGTTTTATAATATACAAAGGACCAAAAAATCATATATGTATGAAGCTTCATTTAACAGATATACAAATTAAAAATATACTATATATATTTATGTTGATATCATTTATTTTCTATATTGTAAATAAATAAGTGTGATTTTTTAATTTATGTGAACACGCTAATTTAATTACTATTTACTAATTTTAAATTATTCAATATTTATTTATTTATTTATTTTATAATATGTAAAAGAACATAATATAAATAATAATACATAAATAATTTATATTTAAAATTACTATCATGCGTAAAGCGTGGATTTTAATCTGGTATGTAAATATATGGGGATGATTGGTTGAACTGTAGCTGTAAAAGTTTTACTGTAGAAATTAGTTTGTAGAGTTTTTTTATTTAGCTGTAAGAGATGTATCTTTAAAATTTATTGGTACAACAACATATTTTCGACATCAACATATTTTCTACAGCAAAAAAGATTGGGCTATAGAAAATAAGGATTTTACAACCATTTTTTTAGTTTTTGGTTGTAACTTTAAAAAAATAAGATAAAGCATGATTGATGATTTAAGTGTTGTAGATAAAAATTAAAGCTAAAGTAAGCATTTACAATCCAACCAATCATCCCCTATAATATGTAAGATTTTCTCCACAAAAATTCAAGATATTGTACTAGATTGGAAAAGTTGCTGAAGCTCATTCATAATGTTAGGCCCACTAGTAACCACTCGATTATGCAAGATGACCAAACTTTACACAGCTCATCAACTTCTCCATGATATCATTTCTGAAGAGTTTGATTTGTCTGTTAAAGCCTAGAGGTAACGTTGGGAATTTTCTGGTCGATTAGTATCATATGATCAAAAGTAGGCAAGTTACTAAGCTAGGTTATCCTTTTACCTTTTATATTCTCACTATATAAGATTTCTTCACCTTTCCATGGCGGTGTGTTGACACCATAGTGAAATAATGAAAGAAAAGGAAAAGGTAAGGTGCAACAAAAAGAATATTATATACTTATGTTTTTATAGCTAAATCTTCAAACTGAATTGTTTCCAAAAATCCGGAATAGTGCAAGTAAAACATAGAGGATTAGATTTTCTTTGATAATCTGTTGTACCATAAAAATGGACATTTAGATTGCTTTCTATCCAATTTTGTGTCGATGATGCTCTATGTTTGCTATTTTTTTCCAACCAAAGACTATTTTTTTGCTCCTGAAAAACCTATGTGAATGATTTGCCATGGATGTTAAGAGTAGGCGACATATATATTGTATTTGGAAGCGAAAGATATCTTGTATTAGAAATAAATAAGGTTAGTGGGTGAATTAGTCAAAAAGAATAGTGCAAAAAAAAGCATAACCAAGAAAATTGGTCCTCGCACTTTTTTCTTTAGGCTCCACCGACTGCTACACATGTCTATGGGAAAGAACTACTGTCGCTGACAAAGTTAATTTTATTTATTTATATCTCTTCTTAGAAGATACTGATTCAGATCTGTGGGTTCCAAAAATCACAATTACTATACACTCATCAACCTCACATCATTTCATCTTAAAGTCTCTTTCTCACACTCTCTCTTTGTCTTCTTTTACACACACACAAGGGAAGAACTATTGAAAAGAGCCATCCCAATCTAGTTTAGCCTAAACCAATTTTAAGCTCCGGCTGGTTTCAACATTGGTTCAAAGCATAAAAGCTGGACCCAAAATTTTGCGTAGCTAGCTGGTCAGAATTTCAACGCTGTTAACTGGCAAAGAATCTATGGACGATCTTAACCTGATCAAAAGGTGGTCCTTATCAGCCCTTGGACCCACCATAACAACCTTACATGAGAGAAAATAGTTTTTTCCATTGAATGACATAACTCACGGCCGGCCTGTTAGAAACCGGACCGGATCAGCCCATGGACCCACTATAACAATCTCCACATGAGAGAAAAGGATTCAAGCTCCTTTGGTTTTTTTGCAGTTAAAGAAAAAATGAACTCTTTATAAACATACTTGATGCTTGAATGAGAATATGAGTTCATTAACAATCAAGGAAACACAAGTCTTTGGTACTTGGTCTCTCTTTTGGAACTAGAATCATCGCAGTGAACCCTCTTCCGGTTTAGATTACTCCCACAGCTATTTTCTGACAATGGTGTTGCTTCAGGAATAATAACCGGTGGAATCTCGAATGAATCAAGCTGTGGCGGTGGATAACGCCATTGTGGAAGCTGTCCAGCTAAAAGCAGAGTCTGAAGCAGAGGCCCTGCCTTCAATACCGCATTTAAAAGCTTCCCTTTCTCTGGTAATGTCCTCTCCGGAAAATCTAACTCAATTTGCATCGGCTGTTCGAAAGATGAGACAATGCTTTCCTCACCGTCGGATGAAGGAAACCCATTGATGTATGGGTCTTGTTCATCCACAGTTTGGTGTTGAGGGATGATGTTATGGTCAAGAAGAAGCTTCTTGTATCTCTCTTGTGCTTCATCTTTCTCTTTGATAGTTTTGTTGAGCAGATTTTTGAGCTGCATTATTTGGTCATCTTTGGTATTGAGTTCCTCTTGAGCAACCCTTCTTGTTTGCTCTAACTCCACTCTTGTGCGGAGAAGTGAATGTCTTAACTCTTCTATTGTCTGCCAACAAAAATAAAAGCTGAGTTAGGAGGGAAACTGAAAGTGAAACACTCAAAATTAGAAAACAGAATGTGAATTAAGGTTCTTGAAGAAGAATGTAGAATTTTGTTTAATTTACCTTTATACCACACTGGTTTTGGTGAGCCCAACTGAGTAGATAATTCTGTTGTCTCTCCATCTTCTTCAGTGAATCAGTTGTAGAGTGACTGAGAGAGTTATATATGAGTTATGATGAGTTTATATTGTATGTTGTCATAGTTATAAAGAAGATGTAGGATAGATTTGATTTGCACTGGTTTTATTTATTTTAATTTAGTGGGTGTGTTTTTAGTCTAGTCACACAAGGGCTTGAGACAAAAATGTCTGATCCTTTTTTTCCATCAAAAGAATCTTTATTGACTTTTTTCCTTCGCTTCTTTAGTTTTTACAACAAATACAAAACAGAAAAACGCGTTAACGGTAATAATGATTCTTGATCGCTATTTGAGTGGACAGTAAAGTTGTTATTACATGGTCTTCTTCGGTCTCGATTGGAGAGAAGTAGAGAATTTTAGTTGCCATAAATAAAACTAATTGTACTTGTTTCAAGTTTAGTAAAAATCAAAGGTATGCTAGGTTCATTCATACATCATAAAGTCATAACAACTATTGTATTTTGTTCCTTAACAAAACTTACCAGTGTTTTTATTTTAAAAAGTTTTATCTGATCCGATTGGTCTGCAGGAGAAACACATTTAATGCTACAGAATAAATTAGTTTAAAAGTATATCACACTATCTGATCTGAATTTGGAATACCTTCCAACTAATATTAGAGACCAATCATCTATTGGTCTACCATGTAAATTACTAAAACCGAAACACGCTTTCAAACTAGCCAAATAGTGATAATTAATTCAAAAAAAAAAAAAATCAAATTTAGAAATTATGTGGATACATACTGAACTCCAAAAAATCACAACTAGAGTATCACCACTTATTTTACCAGTGTTATTTATCTCGAGCAAAGCCTAAATAAACAGTTCTCGTTATCCTCTTCTACGAATGTATCACCAATGGATCTTTCTGCGACCATTATAGCTTCATATATGATAACAAGACTAGACTGTGAATTCCAAAAAAATGATCATAGTTATACTATTGCCTTTTGTCTGAAAGCTTGGACCTATAAGCTATTATGTTTTTTATTAAAAGTACATATTAAAAAAAAAGAGAGAGTGAAAACAATATCTCACCAATAACAATGATTTTTACCAACCGAATATCATATACTAAAGTTTAAAGTTCAAATATAATCTGGATTCGTTTGCTAACAAGCATAACTTTCATCTTATATACTACAAAATAAAGAGGTCCCATTTACTTTTTTTTTTCTTTATAAATATGAATTGGATCTTTTCTCCAATATTAGTTTCTTAAGACGGTTGTCCCAGCTGGTTTTAAAATATATATATCAAAATGTGTATGAGTTATGGCCACTACTCCTTCTCCATACACAGTCGTTGCCCGGGCCTGGTCTAAAATTATAAAAACTTCCAATGGGACCCTTCCCTAAAAACATTTCCTGAAATGAAGTTATTGTTTCATTCTCAAACATATTTCTAAAGTTAAAGTCGATCAGACATGTCCACACGTACGCAATTTTCTTTCCTTGTTCATGTGAATTCACACATACGAGCATTTTTACACTCGTATCCAAAAATTATAGAGTACTGTATGTGTGTGTGTGTGTGATGTGAACATGGATGGAGAAAAGTTGGTCAGCGAAAGGAGGATACTGATAACCTAACATCTTCCCTTTTGTTCTTATTCGCATGTCTCAGCTTCTTCTCCCAATTAATTCCGTTTATATATATATATAAGGGGTATTGTATTAAAATTCAAATTTGCATAGTTATAACGTTTGACAAAAAAGACTTATCATCATTAGTTACCTTAATAGAGCTCTAAATCATGTTACAAAGATATGAAACCGGCGTAATAGATGCTTGATGTGGGAGTGAAAGAATTTAATGTTTGGTGGGTTAAATAAAAAGAAGGGGAAAAGAAACCGCACATTTCAAAAGAGGAAAACTTAGGAGCAACTAAAAAGTCCTTTACGTCCCATCCCAACGGTGCCCATCATGATTTGTGTGTTTATAACAAGCAAGCAAGAAAAGGACTTATCATTTATTGCCCCCTATATTTTGTATTGTGCACATTGACCCCATTTATGGAGTGTGTATTTGCATTTGTGAACTTCAAATGTGAACTTCAAATTACTTACCTTTTTTCCCAATCATACTAAGAACACCCACAATGGGAAGTGCTTAAAAGAGAATTCTTAAAAAAATAATAATTAAATAATCAGCAGATTCTACAAAAAGTTAAAGATTTGATTTTTAAAATCTCTAAATAAGGACCGAATCTTACACTATTTGCTGATCCTCACGACACATGTCAACCCACAATTGGTTGGTATTTACTTTTTTTATAAATCCAAAAATGAAAATAATAATTAAAAAATCAAAACTTAAAGACTCCTTGAAGATAACACCATTGTGGGTGCCCTAAAGTCTATTTAACGGAACGTTGAATGCAATGTAAACAACAACCTCAGCTGGAGTTGTGCATTAGTTACCATTATATAAACCAGCGCACGCTGGCCCAATGATGATTATTTGAAGGAGCTTCGGTCCCAATACGAAAAGCCATCTGAATTCAATTCACACTGGTTACCGGAACATTTACATTATCTCTGTGAGCAAAAGGACAATCCATTACTCTTTTTTAGTTACCATTATATAAATGTTACTAGGTGTTTTCATACACTTGTGCGATAATAAAAATTTAAATTAAATTTATATTTAAAAATAAAATCATGTTAGTATTCGAGATTTTATTATTTTAATATTAATTTTAGTTTAGTTAAACATATAATTAAAATAAAATAAATATTTTGAATTATTTTAAATTATATTTAAGAAAATATGTATATATATATATATTTAAAACTCTAATCTTAGATAGATTTTTATTTATTTGTTTTTGTTAAAGTATATTAAATTAATTTTTATAAAAATGAAAAAAATAAAATTAAACAGAATTTCTAAAATTTGTAGATATAATAAATAAGCAAATGGTGTTACAGTTAAAAGTTTATAATAAAATTGTCACTACAAGAAAATGATTTTTTAACTAGGAATATTAACGAGGAAAATATTTTCTCGTAACATTACGGCGACGTTACGAGGACTTTACGAGGAAACAATGGTTCTGCGTACTTTCCTCGTAAAATCTCGAGAAAATGGTTTCCTTGTAAAGTCCTAGTAATATTACGAGGACACTACGTGGCTAACTACTTTTCCTCATAAATTTGATGTAAGATTAACTAGGAGTTCGAGAAAATATTAAACTGCGATTTAGCGAGGAAATGGCGAGGCTTTGTTTATTTTAAATTTAAAAACGTGTATTCTAACTACTTTTCCTCGTAAATTCCTAGTAAATATTTACCTATCAAATCAAAATTTTCTATAAATACTACCATTTGTGATTCATTTCAAACATACCAAAACAAAATCAGCTTAAATCTTGAAAGAAAAAAAAAATATCCGGTCCTGGAAATATTTTCGAGTTACGGAGGTGGATGTATACACACAGAGATAATAACGGGAGAGTGGGGAAATAATTTGTCGAAGTGTTGGAGACATTTATGCATCAAACAGATTCTACACCGCTCATGCAGGAACGGTAAGATGTTATGTCCTTTTCGGAAATGCAACAATACAAAATTAGGTCCTCGTGAAAATGTTTGGAAGCATTCAGTAAATAGAGGTTTCATGCCATATTACTATATTTGGTATCAACATGGAGAAGATTATAGTTGTAGGAATGAATCTAGTAAGTTTCAAGATGAACTGACCGTTGATCATTTGCATAATGAAAATAATTATTACCAGGAGGAACATATGGTAGATTGTGATAAGGTTCGTGATATGGTAGGTGATGCATTTGTAACTCATGATGATGAAGTTGAAGAATCTAAATTAGATGCAAATTTTTTTTTATGAAATGTTAGAAGCTGCGAACGAGCCAATTACAGTGGTTGTAGAGAAGGTCTCTCTAAATTGTCGTTGGATGCTAGAATGATGAGTATCAAAACCGATCACAATCTACCTGAAAATTGCATGGATGCATGGACAAACTTGTTTAAAGAGTATTTGCCAGATGATAATGTGTTTGCTGAATCTTATTATGAGATTCATAAATTGGTTTATAGTCTTGGGTTTCCCTCAGAGATGATAGACGTTTGCATCGACAACTACATGATTTACTGGGAGATGATGAGCAGTTAGAAGAATGCCGATTCTGTAAGAAGCCATGATTCAAACCGCAAGGACGAGGACGAAATAGGGTACCGTACCAAAGGATGTGGTACCTACCAATCACAGACAGATTGAAAAGATTGTACCAATCTGAGGAGACTGTTGGAGGGATGAGATGGCACACCGAGCATACTCAGACGGATGGGGAGATGACTCATCCATCAGATGCAAGAGCTTGGAAATATTTTAACAAAGTACATCCACATTTTGCTAGCAATAGCCGAAATGTGTATCTTGGATTATGCACTGATGGATTTAGTCCATTTGGAATGTCTGGGAGACAATATTCATTGTGGCCAGTCTTTCTTACGCCTTACAACCTGCCACCGGAGATGTGTATGCGACGAGAGTTTCTATTCTTGACCATATTAATACCTGGTCCAAAGCATCGAAAAACATTTCTCGATGTTTTTCTACAACCACTGATAAAAGAGTTGAAAGATTTGTGGTCAATAGGGGTAAGGACATATGATTGTTCAACGAAAACGAATTTTACGATGCGAGCGATGCTTTTGTGGACCATAAGTGACTTTCCTGCATATGGGATGGATGGACTACATATGGGAGATTAGCTTGTCCATATTGTAATGGAATGACAGATGCGTTTCAGTTCAAGAATGGTAGGAAGAAAAGTTGGTTCGATTGTCATCATCGATTTCTTCCACTTTACCACCCATACCGAAGAAAGAATACATTGTTCAGACACAAAAAGATGGTCAGGAGACACTCCTCCTCCATATTTAACTGGAGAACAAATTGAAGCGCAAATCGATTACTACTGTGCACTAGAAAGAACTCCTCGTGGTGGTAATTGGCATGTTCTTAGTAATATGCATGCTTCTTATGGTGTTCAGCACGATTGGCACAAGAAAA